ATCGTGTTTTATAAATACAGTATATATGTAGGACATCACCATATGATGTTAAAATTATAATAAAGTTACAGAAGGAACGAGAAGATATATAGGTTGAGCATTGTTGCATCTTACACGATCGAGAGATATGGATTGCTGCGGCTTCTCAGAGGAGGGTATTCAAACAGGAGTGGATTGCCCATGTCCGATTCAAAAGATGATGATGATGATGGTTCTTGCTGTCACCATCCGATCAACTTTTGTTTAACTGTTGAATGAAACTAATTTGGATCCAATGTTGGTCAATTTGAATTCCGCCAAAGCAAAGACAAAGATCCCCCGTATAGCCTCAACAGGCTGTCGGGGGCCGAGTTCTACGGGCGGAGCAGCGCCGATGAAGTCCGGCACGACGCACGAATCGTGGGTTGGCCAACCACCCACGCCGGTGCCGTCTTTTGCGTCTGCCAAGTCGCGATGTTCACAACGCGTCACGTCATTCGCGGCCGAGCCGACCTACGGGGATAGCCCCAGAGCACCGGTTTCATTTGTTCAGACACTCGGACAGTGGCGTCGGTGGCCGTGAGCGTGAATAGAACTCGGCTCGGGGTTTGTGGCGGGTTCTTGGCGCGGCGCGTTCACCGCATCAAATCACCGCGAATGATTCTTCCAGCACCCCACCACTCTCCCTCCCGCGCACAGACGCGCCAACACGAGGCGGGCATTCGATCGGCGACGGCTTTTATTCTCATTATATTAATCTGTAGCTTCTCGCGCAAACCCAAAAAACAAACGTAAAAAAACAAACGTATAAGCTCATCGCGCGCAAGCTGAAATTAAATTACGAACGTCTCCCCTTGCCCGACGATGCCTCCTCCCGTGTGTCGCTCAACGTCGACAGCGCTAACACGACGACGAGCATGGAAAGGGGGGTCTGAGGGGGGACAGGGGACGGGGGGGGGGTCAATCGGGAGGGGGGGGGGTCCCGCTTCCAAAACATCATCACAACGCGCGCTCGCACACTCAGATTGCAGATTCCCACAACCTTGATATCTGCTGATGCTGCTGCACTCGTTTACCGCTGCAGGGCAATGTTGATGGTGCTGGTCGTATGCTGCTGCTGATGCTGCACGGTCCGCTGCTGTGAAAAGTTGCTTGTGTTATGCTACTGCTGCAACAGTCCGCTGCTGCGAAAAGTTGCTGGTGTTATGCTGCTGCTGCTCAGTCCTTTACTGGTGTGCAAAGTTGCTGGTGATATTCTGATGCTGCACAGTCCGCTGATGTGCAATGTTGCTGGCGTTCTGCTGATGAACAGTCCGCTGCTGCTGTGCAGGCCACCTGTGCTAACAGCAGTTCGGCGGTTCGATACCGAGTCGCGATTGGTGAGCACCACGAGCAACCACCACCACCACATCAACGTCACAACTCGCACGGCGTGACATCCTCCGTCTCGCGTCCCATCTCCCACTGCTGTGTGACTGTGACCTCTGTGACCTTCGTGGTAAAGGTGGGCAACAAGCGGGGGCCGTGAGCCTCGGCGCACGAGGTCACAGGCTCCCAAATGAACGTGAGTCGAAATTAAAGTCGAGGAGCAATTCGATCTGTCGGGATTCATTTTGTGTTTGTTTGGCAGTGCGGTGTCGAGCTGATGAATGTGTGAAGATGTCCAGACACCAAATGGTTAGCTTGTCACACGGCAACACAAAGTCTGCATTTACCACACACACTTGAGATTATAATCGATACAATTTGAAGGGCAGTGCAACGCACCTCCGATTAGCACGGCTGGCGAGGTACGGTGCGAAATAAGTTCGACATACATACACCAAAGCACATTTGATTCGCGTGTTTTACCACGACGACGTGCGGGAAATGCAGACTTGATGATGCCTTGTAATAATAGCGATCTATTGGCGTCTGAACCTCTGTTTATGGCAGAAAAGGTAACTTACACATTTTGTAGAAAAAAAAAATTCAATGAGCAATGAACAACGTTTGTGTCATTTGAAAAGTGATTTGTGCATCGCGACTCCGCTCTGCGTGTGAGCCGTGTGTGAGCTTCGTGTGAGTCGCGTGTGAGTCGAACCCTGCTTCATATCTGCAAGAACATAGCGATAGCAACTCCGTCAGGTTTCCGCCAGCGTTCTTGTTTTCTCTCTCCTCTCTCGTCGCTCTCTGCACGAAATCCATCCGACAGTGTGCATCTGTATTTGCGTGTGTGCGTGTGTCGACTCAGCCTCAAATGAGTACCTGGTGCGGTGTGTAAACATCGCCACTGGGGAGACAAAGGCGGCCGGGCGTGGTGTTGGCCACCCACCACCTCGTGTGCCGTGTCGGCCTTTATAGGTGCTCGCTAACAGCACTTGCCCCTACAGTCTGTTAAGGCTATACGGGAGGTCTTTGTATGTGTGTTAGTTTGTGTGTGTATGTGTGTTCGTGTGTTAGTTTGTGTGTTAATTTGTCTGTGTGTTAATTTGTCTGTGTGTTTGTGTGTATGTGTGTATGTGTGTCTGTGTGTTAGTTTGTGTGTGTGTTTGTGTGTGTATGGAGCAGTAGTGTAACAGTTAGCGCGCTGCACTAAGAACCCTGCGACACAAGTTCGATTCCCGCTCACGGCAAGCATCGGTGACAATTATCTTAATATCTGAACCGGTCCTGTCCCTTGGTTGACTCCGATGAGTACCTGGTGCGGTGTGTCAACACTCGCTACAAGGGAGACAAAGGTGGTCGGGCGTGGTGCTGGCCATCCACACTTTCTTGTGCCGTGCTGCTCGCTAACAGCACTTGCCCCAAAAGTCTATTAAGGCTACACGGGAAATGTGTGTTTTTGTTCGTACGTGCGTGTTTATGTCGGTGTATTGTCGCATGTGTTTATGTGTGCGTGCGTTTGTTCGTCTCTATTACTGCACGCGTGAGTTCATGTGTGTATATGTGTGTATATGTTCAACCCATGTTGTTTTGTGTTGGTGTGTGTGCGTATGTGTGTGCGTGTTTCCGTAATGTTTGTCTACGTGTCTACACACATATATAGACTTATGTGCGTGTAGATGTATGTATATGTACGTGGTAGTGGAGCGGTAAGCGCGTTGCGCTCCAAACCCGGCAACCCGGGTTCGATTCCCGCTCACGGCCAACACCCAGTGACGATTATCTTAACCGGTTCTGGGCCTCCCCAAAGTCGACTCAGCCTCAAATTAGAACCTGGTGCGGTGTGTAAACATCGCCACTGGGAAGACAAAGGCGGTCGGGCGTGGTGCTGGCCACTCACCCCCTCGTGTACCGTTCCGGCCTTCATAGGTGCTCGCTAACAGCACTCGCCCCAACAGTCTGGGGGCGGGGATCTTCGCCTTTGTTATGGTGCGTGTGTCTGCATGTTTGTATATATATGTGTGTGCGTGACAAATTGCATTAGGCTAAGACCGTTTCGCATGACACTGGCTGACATTACCGTGTAAACGGAGCAGTTCAATGTGACACAAAGCGGTTAGTCGCAAGCGAGCGGGGCAAATGCTTCAGATAAAGTCCCGAAGTTTTCGTCGCGTAAACTTACTTCTCCAGCAAGTCGTGTTTGTGTTCTCGGTCTCTCCACTCCAACGAACGTCCGAAAGTCGTTCGCCAATTGTACTCACTTCATTGCCTTTTTGAATTACTATTTGCGTTATGTATATGTGTATGTAAAGTATATAACAAAGTGTTCCGTGCAAGCCAGCGGTTAACAGGTGTCTTGAGAAAGTACGAGTGGAGAAAACGTTAGTTTTTTTTTCCTCTACCGATTGAAAGATCACAGATCGTGTGATGGGTGCTTCGAGTGCAAAAGTCGAATGCATCGATCCATCAGTGTTCCAAAACCAAACACAAATCTCCGGTTGGAATCCCGAGCCACGGTCAAATTAACGCCAGCCATGAGCAGTGTGTGTGAGTGTGGGGGAGCGGTAGTGTAGTGGTTAGTCATGAACAGTGTGTGTGAGTGTGGGGGGAGCGGTAATGTAGTGGTTAGCCATGAGCAGTGTGTGTGAGTGTGTGGGGAGCGGTAGTGTAGTGGTTAGCGCTACGCTGCGCTACGAACCTGGCAACCCGGGTTCGATTCCCGCTCACGGGCCAACACCGGTGACGATTACCTGAACCGGTCCTGGGCCTCCCCTAGGTCGACTTAGCCTCAAATGAGTACCTGGTGTGATGTGTGAGCATCGCCACTAGGGAGACAAAGGCGGCCGGGCGTGGTGCTGACCACCCACCCCCTCGTGTGCCGTGCCGGCCTTCACAGGTGCTACTCGCTAACGGCACTTGCCCCAACAGTCTGTTAAGGCTATACGGGGAATCTTTGTTTTGTGTGTGTGTGTGTATGAGTGAGTGAGTGCGAGCGGGTTTTCTACTTGGTCGGTTTAGCTAAAAAAAAACATCGAATGTCAGCACTGGGGATACAAAGGCGGACGTGCGTGGCTTTTCTTAACACCCAGACCTGTGTACAACGTGGTACCTACCCCCCCCAAACATCCCTCCAATAGTTTATAAAACTATACAAACTGTAATGTTCGCGTGTATGACTCTCTCCGTATGTACACATGTGTATTGAATAATAATGATTATTAGTATAACAATCGTCAACATTATTTACATCCATTTGTCAATCGACTGCTAGAGGGAAACAATCATGGGGGGAGGGATCGTTTGAGCAAGCCTCAGCAATGCTGCTCAGTACGAGCTGAACAGCGGAAGGGGCCGCAGGGCCGTTTAAGGAATCACTCGCCGTGACCAGGTGTCGAACTCACGTGGCCAGGTGCATCGCGCCGGGCGCTAACCACTGCAGCAACAACGACAACAACAACAACAACAACGACAACAACAACAACGTGGCGGTGGCGGCTTGTGACATGCTAGGTGCAGTACAAAGGCAAAGATCCCCCGTATAGCCTGCACAGACTGTTGGGAGCAAGTGCTGTTAGCGAGCACCTCATGAAACTCGGCACGGCACACGAAGGCGGTGAGTGGCCAGCACCACGCCCGGCCGCCTTTGTCTCCCCCCCCCCCCCCCCCCGTGGCGATATTTACACGCCGCACCACGTACTCATTTGACCTAGGGGAGGTCCAGGACCGGTTCGTAAAATCGTCTCTGGTTGTTAGCAGCGCTAACCGCTGCGCCACCGCTCCCCACGCGCACTCCAAGCGCACACCACCGCTGCGCTCCACGTATGCCTGTGCACGTGAGTACACAGGCGAGCAAAGTTCCGCTGCAACAAGACGACTCTGATCCGCGAGCACCGACAAACACGCGCGCTTGTTGTAAAAGTCATATCGCGACAGTCTATGTAGACTGTATGCTGCTCCACGTGCTCAGCGTAGCTTTTTGCGAGCATCGCACTGACAGCTCGCGCGCGGCTCACTGTGGTCGCAATCTACAGCACAATCATCGTTCACTCCGTCTCTCTCTCTCTCTGCGTCTCTCTGGCTATGTACATCTGACACACACACACACACGCGCATAGAACCACCAAGATCCAGGGGACGGGGGTGGGATAAGTTAGCAACTAGCTGCTGCTCTGCTACTACCGCGACCATGTCGTCCCATCAGCCAGCGGTGGTCGATGCCCGCCCGCGTGTCATTGCGCATCTTCTGGAGCGCATTGCCTTGCACGGGGAGCGGCGATGGTCGAACCAGAGACGAGAGAGTCGTGGATGCCAGGAGACTGCGGTGGCCGCGGTGGTGGTGGCGTTGGTGGTGGTGGCGATGGTGGTGGTGGTGCATCTCACTTAGCATCGGTCGACAGCCGCGGCAGCACAGCAGTGGAGACGCTGATGGGGAGGTGATGAGTCGGCAGCTGGCACATGGCGCACGGACACGGCACGGCGCCCCACTGATGGAAAGCCGCGGCAGCCGCTGCCGCTGCCGTTCCGAGCGCGACGGGAGGGCCGGCGTGTTGCTGCTGCTGCTGCTGGGACGCTTTGCTCGCCGCGGGATGAGCGGCAGATCTTCCGACCGGCGACCCCGCGGAGTGAAGCGATGCGCCCAGCACGGCCTGGTGATGGTGGTGGTGTGGGTGCAGCGGGTGGTGGCTGCTGCTGCTGCTGTTGTTGTGGTGGTGGTGATGGTGGTGGTGCGCGGCTAGAGACGGAGGAGCTCCGGCCGCTGCTGCCGCTGCTGCCGCCGCGTGGCTCAGCGGCGCGGCGGCTGCGGCTGCTGCCGCGGCTGCGGCTGCGCACGCGTGCGCGCTGGGGTGGAACGCCGAGTGGTGGCTGCCGTATATCTCGCCCACGAGCCTCTTCATCTCCTCGAGGGAGCTGCTCAGCATGAGGATGTAGTTTCTGGCGAGCAGCAGCGTGGCGATCTTGGAGAGCTTCCTCACCGAGGGTCCGTGCGCGTAGGGCATCACCTCGCGCAGGCCGTCCATGGCGAGGTTGAGGTCGTGCATGCGCTTGCGCTCGCGGCTGTTGATCTTGAGACGCAGCGACTGGAGGTCGTGTTCGCTCAGGTTCTTCTTGTCCTTGTGCAACTTGGCGAGGGCGGCCGCGTGGGCTCGATCCTCGCTGCTGCTGCTGCTGCTGCTACTGCCGCTGCTCATGAGCAACATCGCCGCTGTTCCGGCCGCCGACGCCGCTGTCATCCCTGCAGCACCAAGGCCGCCGCTCCCCACTCCGACGCCGATTCCATGCATCTGCTGCAGCAGAAGCTCCCGTTCGCTGAGCGATCCCGGGAAGGAGTCGGCCCCGCACGGGCCCGACGACGAGATGGTGGTGGAGCTGACTCGGCCGCCCAGTCCCAGCATCTGGCCCGAGGCTCGCAGGTAGACGTCCACCTCCGGCGAGGAAGCGCGACTCGACGTAACGGAGCTCGCGTCTGAATCCATGCGGCGATGTCGAGCAGCCGGCTTCGTCTTCCGTCACGAAACGTCGCCGGAGACAGACGCGCCGGATCTCGGCAACGCTGGTGCGGCTTTTGAGACTTCTCCGACTTTGCTGCTGCTGATGATGATGATACGACTGCTGGTGGTGATGATGATGATGATGATAGTTCTTAGAATTGTATCTGCGTGGTGTGGTTTTTTTTCGTGGTGAGGGTGGGGAGGGTGGGGAGGACCTTTTATGCGGCTCGCAACTTTGCCAAATCGTATTGCGAATTCTCGCACGTGTCTGTCTGTGTGTGTTGTGTGGTGTGTGTGTGATGTGTGTTGTGCTCGCTGTGGTGAGTATTGCAATATCTCGCTATGAACACAACGCGGTCTCTGACGTTGTCGCTTCCTCTGTGTGGACTAAGCAGGTGCGTGTACATGCAGAGTGTATGTCTAGCGCGCGCGTGTGTGTGTACGTGTCTATCGTTTGTGATGAGTTAGAGAAGACCCCCTTGTCACTGACCACCACCCCACACACCCTGTTACGCTTCGTGCTGGTTTTGTCTTTAATTAATGAGAAGGGTCCAACACCGCCCGGTCCTATATATACGCGTTTATGACCTTGTGCGTATGTAACAATGGACCGTGAGTGTGTGTGCGTGTGTGCGCGTGGGGTGGGGTCAATCACACACGCACACACCCACCCACACACGCACACACGCACGCACACACGCACTCACCCACACGCACACACCCACACACGCACGCACACACCCACACACGCACATGCACACACCCACACACACACACATGCACGCATGCAGAGCGGGGCTTGGGGATAATGCGTTAAGGTATGAGGTGTAACGGGTGAGTGCCTGTCTGTCTGTGTGTGTCGGTGTGTGTGGGTGTGTCTGTGTGTGTCCGTCCGTGGGGAGCGGTAGTACAGCGGTGAGCGCTACGTTGCGCTACGAACCCGGCGGCCCGAGTTCGATTCCCGCTCACGGGAGAAATCGGCCAGTGACGATTATCTAAACCGGTCCTGGGCCTCCCCTAAGTCGACTCAACCTCAAATGAGTACCTGGTGCGATGCGTAAATATTGCCACTACGAAGACAAAGGCGGCCGGACGTGGTGTTGGCCACCCAACTTTCTCGTGTACCGTGCCGGCCTTCACAGGTGCTCGCCAACAGCACTTGCCCCAACAGTCTGTTAAAGGCAACACGGGGGGGAGTGTTGATTTGTCTCGTGCGTGTGGAGTCGACTTAGACGCGCGTCGTGATTCTCGCAACTGCGCCAATCCGAGTTCGAGTCCCTGAGTACGTCTGCTAAACCCCACCATCGTTCGTGTCTGTATGTTGAACGTCTTTCGGCAGCCGTGTTCATCGGAGGTTGTAGCCGTGGCTGTAGTTAGGCGCCGCGGTGGCGCAATGCGATCTTCTTTCGCCTGGTTCGCCGGAGTGCATGTGTTCGAATCCGGACCCTGGCAATGCCTGTGGTATTTTTGGAGTCCGCGTGTCTCTCTCTCTCTCCGTGGTGGTGGTGGCGGCGTGATTTGTTCTCTGGGTGACTTCGGTTATTGCCCTCCTCCGCACTGAGACTCAACAAGCGAAGTTTAGATCATCTGGCTGCTGCTATCAGTTGCCCCGTGTGGTGACGGCAATGGTGGCGATGATGATGGCGATGATGATGGCTATCAGCCACTGCGATGGGCTATCGTAACGTGTGGCCAGGTGGTCTCTGGTGAAGCGGCTACGAGCTCAGAGGGCTTCATCCGGTAAATAAATCAAAGTAGTTGCGGTTGTAGGAGATTCGTGTTCGCAGGCGACTGCGTTGGCAGTGGTGCATTTGAAAAACGAGCTGAAGTTAGCATCGTCTTGTATTAAAATATATACACGCGATTCGTTAAATAAATTATCATTCTCGTTCCTATCATTAGCAGCAGCGAGTATCAGCATCAGCAGCCGCCAGCAGCCGCCACCATCTCTGACGATTCCCGCGCGTGTAACAATCCATCCGGGGACATCTGGACACACACACACACGAGAGCTGACTTCATAGCTCCGTCTCCGCTGTGGGTCGTCCCCATCGCTGCCCCATTCCGTGACCAGTATCGACCAGGGATTCTATAAGTTCCCTGCAAGCCGCGACGCGTCCTAACCCCCAAATAGTCCCACTCACTTTTTATTTTCTCCCAAACGGACAACGTTCCGTGACGTTGGGGAGAAAGTGCGAAACGCACGGAGCCTTGCGCCGAGCGACGGCGCGCGCGCGCGTGGGGGAGCGCACGCAGAGGAGCGGTGCGCTCTCCGATGCGCGCGTGGTGGAGTGCACGCAGAGGAGCGGTTCGCTCCCCGATGCGCGCGTGGGGGAGCGCACGCAGAGGAGCGGTGCGCTCTCCGATGCGCGCGTGGTGGAGTGCACGCAGAGGAGCGGTTCGCTCCCCGATGCGCGCGTGGGGGAGCTCACGCAGAGGAGCGGTGCGCTCTCCGATGCGCGCGTGGTGGAGTGCACGCAGAGGAGCGGTTCGCTCCCCGATGCGCACGCCCCCGCGCCGTCGCTCGCTCCGTCTCTCGGGGCGAAAAAGTTCACAGCTTCTTCGCTTTCTCTCGAACGCTTCCATCGCGCTCCGCGTTGCCGGTCCACTTCGGCCCCGTTTACTTGGCGGGGTGACGCTGCCGCTAGATTTTTGCAGAATGCCGCACGGGCTTACGACGAGGATCGGTGGCACGCAAGTGTCATTTTAGTTCGCGCGTTATCCGCAATGCTGCAACCAGGGCGCTCGGTGATTATTTTTTGTGATTATAATATATTTTACTTCATTAGAATATTGTATAAAACATATACTTGTTAACGCGAAACGATTCTTCCCAACCGAGATGGATTCCGAAGCCACTTCTAACATCAGTGGCGGAAATAGATCCAAATCGGAGCGGTTTTAGAGGTATGCCTTATAGGTCGACTCAGCCTTAAATGAGCACGTGTTGCGGTCTGCAACATGTCCGTGGCCTACTGGAAAGACAAAGGCGGGCGAGGATGGTGCTTGTTACGCCTACTCATTCGTGCAGGTCTTTAATAGGTGCTCGGTAACAACACTTGTCCCCAATAGTGCATGCAGGCTATACGGGGGTCTTTGTATTTGTAATGGTTACATGCGTGTGCGTTCCGGTGTGTGTGTTAGTGTCAAAGACAAAGATTGCCCGTATAGCCTTCAACAGACTGTGGGGGCAAGTGCTGTTAGCGAACACCTATAAACGCCGGCACGGGACACGAGGGGGTGGGTGACCAACACCACGCCCGGCCGCCTTTGTCTCCCTAGTGGCGATGTTTACACACTCCACCAGGTATACTCATTTGAGGCCGAGTTAACCTTCATAGGTGCTCGCTAACAGCACTTGCCACGACAGATTGTTTAGGCTATACCGAGGGATCTTTGTCTTTTGTGTGGTAGTGCATGTATTTGCGTAGGCATGCATGTGTGTGTAAGTATGAGTGTGTGTGTACGCGTAAGTGGTCGCTACCAGGGCATGCCCCGATGTCTGTACGCCTATGTGCGCGTGTTTGTGTGTATCAAGAGGAGCGGTGGTGCAGTGGTTATCGCACAGCGCTACGAACCCGGCCCCCGGGGTTCGATTTCCGTTCACGAGCAATAACAGTAGCGAACATTTGAACCGGTCCTGGTGCATCCCCTAGGTCGACTTGGCCTAAAATAAGAACTTGCAGCGGTGTGTAAACATCAATATTGGGGAGACAAAGGCGGCCGGGAGTGATTTTGGCCACCCACTCCCTCGTGCGCCGTGCCGGCCTTCATGCGTGCTCGCTAACTGCACTTGCCCCGACAGTCTGTTTACGGCTATATGGGGGATCTGTGTCTGTGTACGAGTGTGTTTAGATGTATACGCGTGTGAATGGCAGAATGATCTTCTCGATGATGTGTGCGTACACACGAGTCGATCGACTGTTTGCGCGCGGGAAGGTAATTAAATTAGAGTTAATGAGTGCAGCCGCACTAATAGAGGACATTTCCAATGCATGGGAGAATTCACACTCAGTGTCGGATAATTAATTAGTTTTGAGCGAGGGTTTTGTATAAACCGGGGCGTTCGCAAACTCCAGTCTTCGCAGTACACTACCACACCACGTCTTTATACGTTAATCGATTTACTCCACGCCCCGTTAGAACACATATTCATTTGTTCCACTTTTGCACGCGCCTGATGATTGTTAAACACGTCCAAAGTGACGCGCTAAGCAATTAACGCCGCCGTCGGCGCTAATAGAGCCGATTCCAATTAAAGATTGAGATCTCAGTGTCCGCTTGTGTGTAATCGTGTTCCATGTGTGTGTGTGCACATGTTCTGCGTGCGTGTGCATACGTGTTCCACGTGTGTGCGTACACGTGTTCCACGTGTGTGTTCTCGTGTTCCACGTGTGTGTGTGTGCGTACACGTGTCCCACGTGTGTGTTCTCGTGTTCCACGTGTGCATGTACACGTGTTTCACGTGTGTGTACTCGTGTTCCACGTGTGTGTGTGTGTGCGTACACGTGTTCCACGTGTGTGTACTCGTGTTCCACGTGTGTGTGTGTGTGTGCGTACACGTGTTCCACGTGTGTGGACTCGTGTTCCATGTGTGTGCACGTTTTCCACGTGTCGTGTGTGTGTACATGTGCTCCACGTGTGCCTGTGCTTCTCCTGTTCCACGTGTGTGTGTACACGTGTACTGTGTGAGTGTGTGTGCGTACGTGCACACGTATTCCAGGCGCGTGCAGCGTGCGTGGATCGAGTTAATTTGTATTCGAATGGGAAGGAGTAAATTGGTAAACGGGGAAAGAGATGCGGCTTGGAGGTGTTGGGTGGTCTGCAAGAACTGGAGTTTAAGAGATCGTGGACTATAAACAGCGAATCTATGATGGGGCTAATGCGTCTGGCAGAACAAGTCATTAGCACTGCTATTTAAGCAATTATAACTTGACACACACACAGACATTTAGTGGAATCAAAGTTGCGTTAAGAATAAGTTGGACTCGTTTCAAAGATGTTACGATGACGATGGCGATAATGTTTATCATTATACAAAATTATTTTTAAAAAAATGTTATGTATTGATTTATTTTTCGGGACGACTCACATTTCGTTTGAATAGAAACCATTTACAAAGACATCTGAACCTCCTTGCGGCGATTTTGTCAAATTGCACTGCTGGATGATTTGACCATACTTCACCACGTTGGTCCATGCGGGTTAGTGAAGAAACAACATGCAACGCGTCTTTATAAAATCGATCCCCAATAAAAAATATATAAACATATATTTCTATGATTCAACTCGCACTGAATATCTTTAGCAATGTTGTTGTTGTTTACACATTTTAATTTGTAATATAACGTTTGTAAAAATAAAAGACGGTAAGAAAATGAGACAAACCTAGCTCGTTTCGAGGAGGTATTTGTTTAGTTATTGCATTACTTTCTGCCAACTCAAATTGCGTATTCTTAAAACGCCAACATTTGCCAGTACAGACTATTCGAGCACGCACCCTCTCGAAGGACCCACGTGTTGTTGCCTCGTCGAGTGGGAATTTAACTCGTCTGTGATAAAGAGCTTTATAGATCATCGGGTTCCTCCTCCAGTATAAATAAACATTCAAATTCTGAAGTGCAAACACGCAGTGTGCACACACAGCTTGAAACGTGTACAAATAT